AACATTTTCTATAGAAAATTTGTCATAAAATGAACAACATTTTCTATAGAAAATTTGTCATAAAATGAACAACATTTTCTATAGAAAATTTGTCATAAAATGAACAACATTTTCTATAGAAAATTTGTCATAAAATGAACAACATTTTCTATAGAAAATTTGTCATAAAATGAACAACATTTTCTATAGAAAATTTGTCATAAAATGAACAACATTTTCTATGGAAAATTTGTCATAAAATGAACAACATTTTCTGTAGAAAATTTGTCATAAAATGAACAACATTTTCTATAAAAAATTTTTCATAAAAAAAAGCTACTTTTTCTATACAGAATTTGTCATAAAATGAGCAAAATTTTCTATAGAAACTTTATCATAAAATGATTAACATTGTCTTTAAAAAATTTCTTATAAAATGAGGCACATTTTCTATACAAAATTTGTCATGAAATGAGCAACATTTTCCATAGAAAATTTGTCATAAAATGAGCAACATTTTCTATGGAAAATTTTTAATAAAATGAGCAATTTTTTGCTATGAAAATGTTTTTATAATATTAAAAACTTACTAAAATTTAGTCTACCTTTCATACCCTAGATGTTTGTTGGAAAGAATTTAAAATTTTCTCTTAATAAACAGTTGTTTAGATTTAAAGTTTTTTTTGTTTTTGTTAATTTCAAAAGTTTTTGGTATGTGATTTGAAAAATTCTTGGAGCATAAATGACTTGACTTTGAGCAATGTGTATTTTGTAAGGTATTAGTTTCTACTTCTAATACAGGTATTGTTATGTTAGTCATTATTGCTGTTGTTGTTGCTGTTTTAAAACTGACAGCCAGAAATGTCTGACAACGACAACAACAGCAGCTACAAACCATAAGTATAATTTAAACAAAACATTAAGAATATTTTTTATACCGATGAGGAATTTCAAGAAGTTTTAGGAGTAAAAAAAATGAATATGCTACTACAACTTGTATGCTATAGAGAATAGCATACCTGTTTATTGTCTAAACAACAAAAATCATAGCATAGCTTTAGGAGTTGCAAACAAATACCTAGAAAAAATCATTGCATATCAGTAAGTAGAGTTGTTGTAGTTTGTGCATAAAACCAGGATGTGAAGAAATGAAGCCGGAAAAAACAAAAAATTTTCTAACCTAAATCTGCCAGTCAGTCAGCCAGCCAGCAGTCAAGTAACTCAGGTTTTTCTGAGCTGTAAAATGTTTTGCATACTTTTGTTAAAGTGTAGTGTAATTTGGTAAGAGTGTATAAATGAAAAAATATTCCTGTATAGGTTTCGTTTTTCAATTTTTTTCCACTTTGCATGTACTTGTTCAAGTTGTATGTAGTAATAAATGCAGCCTGTATTCACTTAATTTGCCTTAAGAATGATGATTGTTTTTGTGATGGAGTTGTTGATATTTTAACAACATCCTTATGACAGGCACGTGTGAATAATAGTTCAACAACTAGAATAGAAAATCGCATAGAAAAAACAATGTTTTCGCAAAAAAAAAAACGTTTTTAAGACAGAAACTGAAGTGTTAAGGAGAAGTTATAAATAAAGTTGTTTTAGGAAGTTGGTACTTATTTAGTAGGGAAAGTTACAAATTTAATTTAGAATAAAAAGGAACATTTTCTTAAAAAAATATTAAAAATGAGCAAATTTTAGAACAGAAAAATTGACGTATCCTATGGAAAAGTTGTCATTAAATGAGCAACGTTTTCTATATAAAATTTGTCATAAAATAAGCAATATTTTCTATAGAAAATTTGTCATAAAATGAGCAACATTTTCTATAGAAAATTTGTCATAAAATGAGCAACATTTTCTATAGAAAATTTGTCATAAAATGAGCAATATTTTCTATAGAAAATTTGTCATAAAATGAGCAACATTTTCTATAGAAAACTTGTCATAAAATGAGCAACATTTCCTATAGAAAACTTGTCATAAAATGAGCAACATTTTCTATAGATTATTTGTCATAAATTGAGCAACATTTTCTATAGAAAATTTGTCATAAAATAAGCAACATTTTCTATAGAAAATTTGCCATAAAATGAGCAACATTTTCTATAAAAAATTTGTCATAAAATGCGAAACATTTTCCATAGAAAATTTGTCATCAAATGCGAAACATGTTCTATAAAAAATTTGTCTTTAAATGTGAAACATTTTCTATAGAAAATTTGTCATAAAATGAGCAACATTTTCTATTGAAAATTTGTCATAAAATAAGCAGCATTTTCTATAGAAAATTTATCATAAAATGAGCAGCAATTTCTATAGAAAATTTGTCATAAAATGAGCAACATTTTCTATAGAAAATTTGTCATAAAATGAGCAACATTTTCTATAGAAAATTTGTCATAAAATGAGCAACATTTTCTATAGAAAATTTGTCATAAAATGATCAACATTTTCTATAAAAAATTTGTCTTTAAATGTGAAACATTTTCTATAGAAAAATTGTCATAAAATGAGCAACATTTTCTATTGAAAATTTGTCATAAAATAAGCAGCATTTTCTATAGAAAATTTGTCATAAAATGAGCAGCATTTTCTATAGAAAATTTGTCATAAAATGAGCACTTTCACTTTTTTGCTATAGAAGATTTATCTCATTCTTGCTATAACTAAGAAAATTTTGTTTTATTGATGGTCCTTAGAACTCATATTCTTGTTTTACCATCTTTTGAATTTTAATTAAATTTATAACAAATCTCTTAAATTTTATATTAACTTTAAACTAGATAATATTATACATTCATACTTTCAACTTTTATTTGATTTTTTCACTTGTCAACAACAAATTCTTTCATCCCAACTTAGGTCATGTGGAAATTTCTAGGGAAATCATCATCTCCATGATGTTGATCACAATCTAACACTTTTTTTCATATTATTTTATTTGGTCAAGGATATAAAATAGTTTTTTACTTCAAACAAATTGTATATGTAGTTTTATTTTAATGTTGTCGAAATCATATCTCCAAAGACTTTTGCTTTTAGAGACTTGTCAAAGAGTTTTTTCTCATAAAATTTAAAACATGAGTTATTTTCTCACTCCCCTAAAAGATTTCTTAAATAAAATAAACTAAAATCTTAACAAATTTTTATCTAGTTTAATTTTTATATAAATTCAATAGCAGTACATACACACATATTTGTTTAAAACCATTTTGTTGAATTATTTATTGTTTTAAATAATTGAATTTTTATTTATTCTGAAAATATTGATGTCAGTAAAGAAAAATCTTTGTAAATGAAAATAATAAAAAGTTGCATGTGATGTAATGAGTTCAATTGTTTAGTTTAGTAAAATTTTCCAAAAATAATTGACAATTTGAAATGTTAAAAGACAAAAATTTGGCAACCAAGGACATTTGCATTAGAAATTACTTTGATTTGAAAAATCAAGCAAATATTTAAAAATCTTGAAAGTTTCTCTAGTAATATTATCCATTATAACTAGATTTCACTGTTTTATTTACTTTATCCATTACTGTGTCTATTATTAGTTTAGTTTTTTGGATTTTTTTAATTATTTATAAATGTGTCTGCATAACTAATTTGTTATTTGAATGTTTTTAGGCTGTTTTTGGTAAGAATTGTATTGCCTAGTTTTAGGATGAGTGAACAAATTTTACATTTAAAGAGATTTTGATAATGTTTAAATGTTATTCGATTCGATTTATTTTAGTAAATAATTGATTTGTGGTATAAACGGTTATATTGTTATTATTCATGGAAATATGGGAATATTGTCCTTCGAACCACTGAACTGCACTAGAACTGAACTAGAACTAGAACTGAACTAGAACTGAACTAAAACTGAACTAGAACTGAACTAGAACTAGAACTGAACTAGAACTAGAACTGAACTAGAACTAGAACTAGAACTGAACTAGAACTGAACTAGAACTGAACTAGAACTGAACTAGAACTGAACTAGAACTGAACTAGAACTGAACTAGAACTGAACTAGAACTGAACTAGAACTGAACTAGAACTGAACTAGAACTAGAACTGAACTAGAACTAGAACTGAACTAGAACTAGAACTGAACTAGAACTGAACTAGAACTGAACTAGAACTGAACTAGAACTGAACTAGAACTGAAATAGAACTGAACTAGAACTGAACTAGAACTGAACTAGAACTGAACTAGAACTGAACTAGAACTGAACTAGAACTGAACTAGAACTGAACTAGAACTGAACTAGAACTGAACTAGAACTGAACTAGAACTGAACTAGAACTGAACTAGAACTGAACTAGAACTGAACTAGAACTGAACTAGAACTGAACTAGAACTGAACTAGAACTGAACTAGAACTGAACTAGAACTGAACTAGAACTGAACTAGAACTGAACTAGAACTGAACTAGAACTGAACTAGAACTGAACTAGAACTGAACTAGAACTGAACTAGAACTGAACTAGAACTGAACTAGAACTGAACTAGAACTGAACTAGAACTGAACTAGAACTGAACTAGAACTGAACTAGAACTTAACTAGAACTGAACTAGAACTGAACTAGAACTGAACTAGAACTGAACTAGAACTGAACAAGAACTGAACTAGAACTGAACTAGAACTGAACTAGAACTGGGTTCTAGTCTTATGTGTTCAATTTGAAACAGTTTATCTTACTTAAAATATTTTCGATTTATTATGCTCCCTCGAGCCTTAACTCATATTATTGTTACTTAAATTTAATATGGTCCTTAGAACCGTGGAGTAAAATATCACTAAATTACAAATTATTCTATTTGTTGCTGAAATTTTTGTTGTTTAAAGAATATAATTAATTAGTTTTTTAGTCCTTTTTATAAGTAGATACTTATGGTCCTACGAACCTCAAAATAAATTCTCGCTTACAAACTCCAGACTAAACACTGAAGAACTTTAAAAAAATATTTTTCTATAAAAGATAAATCCATAAATTTTCTTTAGTTCAAAACAAAATCTACAAATTTGCATTTATAGTGAATAAATAACAGTTTTAAAAATATCAACTTTAAAAAACATCGACTACTATGTGAATATATATTAAATACATAAGAGTATTTAAATGTATATGAATCTGTATATATAAAAGTGTTGTATATGTGTGTGAAAAGTGCCAATCAAGATCTACCAGTGAAATTACGATTTCGAAAAAAAAACCAGACATAGTCAACGAAAACTTTGCTAGTATGAGGAGAAAAAATACTCGTAATACACTTTAAAGCAATAATTGGACTTATGCAACAATAATTTAAAAAATATATATGTATGCATGTATGTATATGGGAAAAAGTGCATGTTGCAACACCATTACTACTACTACAAGTACTGCTGTAGCAACAACAACGACGACAAGTGTGATAGTGTTAATCAAGCAATTGATGGAAAAATTGTTCAACTGCGTGGTAACACGATTTAAATGTGTGGTGGCACAGAGTGAATGAGTGTTTATTTCTTCTACTAAAGGCTGATATATGTATTTTTTTAAATCAGTTCAGATTATGTGTAAAAAAAAAGGATTTTTTCCCCATATAAATGTTAATACTTAATACTATATAGTTGGCGTATGTGTATGCTGTACATATTTGTATAACGCTCTCGTTTTTATGTTTATCATGTGACAATGACAACAAAAAGTTGTTTAACAAATAGCAAAACGTATAGTAAAAATAAAAGAAATTCGCAGCAATACCAAGAACATAAAACGGTCTCGGAATCGACAACGGCGACAACGACAATACATGCTAACGGTAATAACAAAATGAATGGATTTCGCATCAGTGGTTTTCCATCTGCTACACTTAATGGTGGCCTTGCCACAGCTGCTCAACAGCAACAACAACGAGAAAACTCTATGTCTACAACTCAACATCAGCAACAACATAAACCCGCCAATAACACAGCTTTAGGAAATGCAAATAAATTAAGCTCAATTGTAACGGGAAACATGAGTAACAGCAACAATATTGAAGTAACATATGCCAAACCCTACCAACTAATGTCCACCAATTCCAATACTACTTACTCACAAGTTGGTTCAAAGGAATCATCATTGGCAACAACACCCAATGGTGGCTGTTCTTTAAACTACATGCTGGATGATGAACTAGACTTACATATCAAAGAATCAGCGGTAACCATCACTGGCAATTCGGCCTTAAGTATGTTGCAACCGTCACCCCCACCCCTAACCACGGCTGTGACAACGAGTGCCACAACTGCAGCACCCATAGCCTTAAAGGGTAACAATCCATTTTTGAATAGTCCTTCGCCTACGGACAACATAAAAACAACAACAGCCTTTAGTTTCCAACAGCAGCCACAGCATGAAATACCCGAATATGCTGAACCACAACGTTATCGTCAGAATAAACAAACACCACAGCAGCATCCACAGTCTTCAATTGGAAATTCTGGTGGTTATGCCAGTACTGTTTTGGGCTCTGGTGCCATTGTTTCTATACAAGGAAGTGTTAATGTGTCTACAAAGGAAACAATCATACAACAGCTTACATCTCCCTCATCATCGACTTCCTCTTCATGTTCATCTGGATTTGTGGATTATTCTTCTAGCCAGCAACAGCAGTTGCATTTGCAACAACAACAGCTGCGTCAACAACAATTGACACTGCAGCAGCAACAGAGATTATTGCAATTAACCCGCCAACAGCAGCAGTTAAGACAGGCTGTTTCAATGGTAAATTCTTCGGGCTCCTCAACTGCATCGGCTACAACGAAATTTAGCGATACAACGACCTCAAACAATCATGTTAATATGGATAAAGAGGCCATTTATGCTGCTCTTTTACAGCAATATAGACAAAGTCCTACGCAAGCAACGGCTCCTTCAAACGTTCCCCATAAAGCTTTGAAAACTCCAAATAATAATAGCTCAAACTCTTCCTACTGTCCACCTGTGCCTTTGCATAGGAATATAAATACCACTGCTTCCACAAATCCTGTAAATGGACCTATCGTACCGCGACGCTCTCACAGTACTCCCAGGCCCTTAAGCTCCAATCTCAGTCATGCCTCTAACCCGCCACTAGGCCCAAACGCACCCAATACTACCACTAATGGCCAAAGACCCAGAAGTCTTGAACGTTTTAATAACTTGCCGGCAAATAACAAACCCAATACCCCGGTTTCTCCTTACCAACCACCACCTATACCCATAAGAAGATTTGCTCCGGGTACCCAACCCAAGCGCAATGTGGGCAGTCCCCAACCTTCAGAGGCGGCCAAATTTCAAGGCAAGAAAAGCACTAGTATAGACAACATAAGGCAACATGCGGTAAATACCTCAGACGTACCCCCTAATCAAGGAACCATGAGACACTCGGTAACCTTTCATGGCAGACCTGTAGAAACCAATAACCTAGAAAATGGTTTTAGTGTAGAAGACCTTAAATCCAATTGTAATCAAAATAACACCAACAACTGGTCAAAAACTGAAAGACCCATGTCTTATGCTTTTGGTGGTGCGGGGCCAGATCAAGCCTATTTGGAAAATCAATTAAGAGCCTATTCGGAACAATTAAGAACTATAACAGAAAGTGTGCGCAAGTATTCGGAACAAGCCAAGCTGTTATCCGAACTTAAGCGCCAACAGCACTTGGCTAAACAGCAACAAATGGGCAGTACAGCCAGTGTCAATAATTCACAAACTAATTTGGAACAAACGCACAATAATCAACCCATACCTATGTCCAAGTCCACGGGAAATTTTTCCTCTAGCATGATTTCCCAAGAAATAGTCAGTAAGTCCCTAGCTTCGCTCAACAATCAAACGGCGGAAACACAATCGCCTTCTACACAACTCAAAATGTTTCTAGACAATATAAGAAGCTCCATGAGATCGGAGTATCAACAAAATATACCCGAAGAAGTATTAAAACCCATTAAGGAACCCAAAACAACACAAGCAAACCAAAAAGTGATCAACACTAATACCATAAAAAGAAATTCTTTAGTAGATACAGTGGAAAAGAAAAGCTCTTCACCTCTCAAGCAAGTACCACAAAAACCAGCAGCTGCCATCACACAGCAACCTCTTAAGGAACCAGAATCTTTACCTACACCCTCGGACCAATTAAGACTATTTTTGGATGCCATACGCTCTAATAAAATACCCGAAAATGATGAAAAACCTAAAATAGTGAACTCGCAAACTTTAGACTCTTTCATAACCAAACCTTTACAAATGCCCGATGTAACATCGGGTACACCCGGTAACAATGGACCACCTTCTAGAAGAAGACCAAAATCAACAATTTCTACTACCAGTAATGCGGCACCACCAAGCCAGATTGCGGCGCCAACAGCTCAAGGTTCCACAAAATTGGAACATTCTCTTACCACCTCGGAAAGTTTCCATCAAATTTCAGACAATCTACGTTTAATGAGTGAAGATCTAAAGGCCTTAAGTCCCAGTAAAGTGGTGGTCAACTCACACAGTTCGGGCAGCCTTAAAACTCTGGCCGCCCCTTCGGAATTGCGTGTTCATAACTCCACTTCTCCCTTAGCCACTTCACCCACTATAAGACAAAATTTTCCAACTTCCAACAGCAACAGTTCGATTTGTAGCCTCGCCAATTCGACCAATAATACCTCTAATACTTCGACACCCTCCACAGCTCCCCTAATGACAGATTTCAATGAAATCTTGGATAGTTTTCAACAAATGGCTGATAAATATAAATCAAAAGGTTCCTATGATTACTTGCGTAAATGTTCGGAAGCATTACGTCAACATTCCCAACAATTAAAACTAATGCAACAACAGCAACAGCTGGCCGGCAACAGTAACAATGGTTTCCATAACAGCAACAACGGCTTTAATGAGGATAGTAATTCGTGTACGACAACTCCGGGCAGCATTCGAGAGGCTGTACAAAATTTACTTATGCAACCACGTAATGGTTTTCAAATACTTGACGATAGAATGCGTCTATTTATCGACATCATTGATAGTCAGGATAAATTGAGTCAGGTAAGTTTTTCTTGTTTCTATCATCATCATCAGCATCATCTGTATTCTATTGTTTTGTTAACTTGTTTTTCATCTCATTGTTGTTGTTACTCAATTGTTATTGAGTTATGTAAATAGATTTTCGTCGATAATAGTTTGTAGTGCTTGCGATAACAGCCAAAGGAGAAGAAGGAGGTGTACTTGCTGTACTTACGATTTGTTCATTCAACATTGTCAAGTATTGTTGCTGTAATTAATGATAATGTTGATTACAAATTAAGATTATTATTGTTGTTTGATTGTATACATAAGTAAAGTAATGAACAGTTTGAGGAAGGTATGAATCTTGGTTAAACAAATAGTATGGAATGAATATTTAATTGTAAAAGCTTTATAGTTTGAGGAAACTAAAATGAGATTTTTGAAGTTTATTTTTAGCAATTTGTGGGAGACCTGTAGAATTTTCATGTCAGAATTCCAAAAAGGATAAATATATTTTAGGATCCTTTATTATCTTTTATTATTACTGAAAACTAATATAGATACATACATATTCAGCTATTTGCTTTAGAATCTGCTTTTCACAACCTTTCCAGTTCAGTTCATGTACAGTTCGAGTCCAGTTGCAGTTCAGTTCTATTTCAGTTCTAGTTCAGTTCTAGTTCAGTTCTAGTTCAGTTCTAGTTCAGTTCTAGTTCAGTTTTAGTTCAGTTCTAATTCAGTTCTAGTTCAGTTCTAGTTCAGTTCTAATTCAGTTCTAGTTCAGTTCTAGTTCAGTTCTAGTTCAGTTCTAGTTCAGTTCTAGTTCAGTTCTAGTTCAGTTCTAGTTCAGTTCTAGTTCAGTTCTAGTTCAGTTCTAGTTCAGTTCTAGTTCAGTTCTAGTTCAGTTCTAGTTCAGTTCTAGTTCAGTTCTAGTTCAGTTCTAGTTCAGTTCTAGTTCAGTTCTAGTTCAGTTCTAGTTCAGTTCTAGTTCAGTTCTAGTTCAGTTCTAGTTCAGTTCTAGTTCAGTTCTAGTTCAGTTCTAGTTCAGTTCTAGTTCAGTTCTAGTTCAGTTCTAGTTCAGTTCTAGTTCAGTTCTAGTTCAGTTCTAGTTCAGTTCTAGTTCAGTTCTAGTTCAGTTCTAGTTCAGTTCTAGTTCAGTTCTAGTTCAGTTCTAGTTCAGTTCTAGTTCAGTTCTAGTTCAGTTCTAGTTCAGTTCTAGTTCAGTTTAGTTCAGTTCTATTCAGTTCTAGTTCAGTTCTAGTTCAGTTCTAGTTCAGTTCTAGTTCAGTTCTAATTCAGTTCTAGTTCAGTTCTAGTTCAGTTCTAGTTCAGTTCTAATTCAGTTCTAGTTCAGTTCTAGTTCAGTTCTAGTTCAGTTCTAGTTCAGTTCTAGTTCAGTTCTAGTTCAGTTCTAGTTCAATTCTAGTTCAGTTCTAGTTCAGTTCTAGTTCAGTTCTAGTTCAGTTCTAGTTCAGTTCTAGTTCAGTTCTAGTTCAGTTCTAGTTCAGTTCTAGTTCAGTTCTAGTTCAGTTCTAGTTCAGTTCTAGTTCAGTTCTAGTTCAGTTCTAGTTCATTTCTAGTTCAGTTCTAGTTCAGTTCTAGTTCAGTTCTAGTTCAGTTCTAGTTCAGTTCTAGTTCAGTTCTAGTTCAGTTCTAGTTCAGTTCTAGTTCAGTTCTAGTTCAGTTCTAGTTCAGTTCTAGTTCAGTTCTAGTTCAGTTCTAGTTCAGTTCTAGTTCAGTTCTAGTTCAGTTCTAGTTCAGTTCTAGTTCAGTTCTAGTTCAGTTCTAGTTCAGTTCTAGTTATGTTCGTATTTGCTTCATGACTAAATAATTCTACACAGTGTTTTCATTTACATATTAATTGTATCTTTACGAGTTTTGCACTAATCCCGCATAAAAAATTCATAAAGATTTGAATAAATTTTAAAAGTAAAATAAGAAAACCCAACAAATCTTGTAGCTTTGCATATGAATGTTTAATCACTTTTACACTTTTTATTGAAGTGTTGACACTCTTAAACCGAAAATTACTTCCAAGCGGTGAATGTTAACTGTCAAACAAACACTCACCCACTTCCATCCTTTAACAGGTTTTCAAAATAAATTTAACTTTCTGCTGCTGTTCCTGCTGAAGCTTAGTAGGTGTTGGGAAAAATGTTTGTTAAATTTATTCAAGTGTATTTAATTTACTTAACTTAACTACCTGTAGATAAATTTACATTTTCAAGTGATTTGTATTTGATTTTCCCCCTTTTGTTTGGGGAAGGTAAATAAACAGGAGTCTTAAAACAAATTTTCTTAATGGGGGATTTAGTTTTAAATTTTTTGGCAGCATAAGTGGTAATAAAATAAATTGAAAAATTTGTAGTTCTGACTAAAGTCTATAATTAAACAAAATCATTTTTGTAGGGGGGATGAAAGTTTCAACATAAC